AAGGCACCACCCCTCCTGGAGGGGGGCCCTTTTCGATTAAAGCCCCGAAGTATCCATGAGTTGTCTGTGGAGCAGCAACTGTACTACAAGGAGATCACTGAAGCCTGTGTGGGGTCATGTGAAGCCAAGAGAGCGGTGAGGCCCCACCACCCTGCCTTTACCGCAGACCCCTTCTCTTGGAGGCCTCCCAGATTCTCCCCGTGGTATCTGCCCCCACCTCACTCATTTCCCTCCTCCCACAGGAAGCCCTTCAGAGCATCGCAACAGACCCAGGGCTCTATCAGATGCTGCCACGATTCAGCACCTTCATCTCAGAGGGGGTGAGAGGATTCAGACCCCTTCTCTGCTCCCATGTGGTCAAGGCCCTAGAATGAGGTTCCAGGGGGTGAGGAGTTGGCAGGGGAAGCTCATCTAAAGTGTCTCCCTGCCCTGTCACTTCTCCCTCCTATAGGTCCGTGTGAACGTGGTGCAGAACAACCTGGCCCTGCTCATCTATTTGATGCGCATGGTGAAGGCACTGATGGACAACCCTACGCTGTATCTAGAAAAATACGTGAGTGGTCCTGCCTATCCACCTCTTATCCCAGGCTTTGGAGACCTCACCGCCACCAACAGTAAGCCAGTAACCATAATTAGCTACCTTATCACTTTTCTCTCAGGTGCATGAATTGATCCCAGCTGTGATGACCTGCATCGTGAGCAGACAGTTGTGTCTGAGGCCAGATGTGGACAATCACTGGGCACTCCGGGACTTTGCTGCCCGCCTGGTGGCCCAGATCTGCAAGCATTTCAGCACAACCACTAACAACATCCAGTCCCGGATCACCAAGACCTTCACCAAGGTGAGCCAGAATAAGGATCATAAGCCCTTTCACATCTCTACCTCAGGGTTGTCACCAGACAATGAGAGCAGTGGTGAGTCAATTGTGGGTGGAAACTGAAAACAAGGGGCAGAGGGCAGAGGGATTGGGAATGGGACTTGAGCCGTATGCCATATATATCTGTAATGTCTTAATGATCTACAAGGAAAGTGTGTTTATGAGACTTGGGTCCTTACCAATTAGGCTTTCAGGCCCATTTACCTGGACTTATTTTCCATCCCCTTACAGAGCTGGGTGGATGAGAAGACTCCATGGACTACACGTTACGGCTCCATTGCAGGCCTGGCCGAGCTGGGACATGATGTCAGTGGGGAAGCACTTGGGAGGGAGGCATCATGAAGTCATAGTGGGCAATAGCCCACCACCTGGGAGACTCTGTGGTGACCCCAGGACCCTGGCTTCTCCCCTTCCTTTCCAACAGGTGATTAAAACTCTGATTCTGCCACGGCTGCAGCAGGAGGGGGATCGGTTCCGTAGTGTCCTGGACGGCCCTGTGCTGAGCAACATTGACCGAATTGGAGCTGACCACGTGCAGAGCCTCCTCCTGGTGATCAGAGCCCCCTGCCCGCCCCCTGCTTCTTCCCACTGATCCTCCCTCCCCCCCTCACACTCACACACACACACAGGTACAATGTTTAGCAAGAATGTGGTCTTTTATTCATTTATCCCATCTTTGCCTCATATATTCAGAGCAACCTCAGAGTCCAGTACTATTTAGCAGATGGAAAAGACTGAGGCACAAAGGAGTTAAATAAGAAATAAGAGGTCTTAAATCTCAAGGCTTCCAGACTGCACTACCCCTCATGCTTCTGCATCACTTTGGCCCATTCTGTATACAGCAAATGCCCTATGGACCAAAACTACCTCTCAGATATTACCAGGGTATTTAGCATGTTCTCTGTTCACACCAATTGGTGCCTATGTTTTCTTATTAAGAAAACCACAGCATTCCTTATACACACTGCTATGCCAGCAGTCTGGCCTTCAACAAGAACATACTGAAATGGTAATAGCCTTTTTCATGCCTTCACCACGCTTCTAAGAATCCCAACCCTCTTCCTACCTGCTTTTTTTTTTTTTTGCTTTATCTCTACAGAAGCACTGTGCCCCTGTTCTGGCAAAGCTGCGCCCACCACCTGACAATCAGGATGCCTATCGGGCAGAATTTGGGTCGCTTGGACCCCTCCTCTGCTCCCATGTGGTCAAGGCTCGGGCACAAGCTGCTCTGCAGGCTCAACAGGTCAACAGGACCACTCTGACCATCACTCAGGTCAGTGACAGTCCAGGGAGGAGGGTGGGTGACCAAATGGAGAGGAGGAATGAAGAATACTGGGGGCGGGACAGAGCCCCAGTTTGCACTGGGATGTGGAATTACAGGCATGCCCATGGTGAGCATGAATTTTTTAAAACCCAGGGCCCTCCAAGTCAAAAGTTTTGGAGGCAGCTAAACTGCCACCCCAGTGAGACCAACTCAGGAGCAAGGCGAGCCCTTTTTCTTAGATGTTGACATTTTCTTCTTGCCTCTTCCTCCTACAGCCCCGACCCACGCTGACCCTTTCTCAGGCCCCTCAACCTGGCCCTCGGACCCCCGGCTTGCTGAAAGTCCCTGGCTCCATTGCACTGCCCGTCCAGACACTGGTGTCTGCACGAGCTGCTGCTCCACCTCAGCCTTCCCCTCCTCCCACCAAGTTTATTGTAATGTCATCGTCCTCTAGTGCCTCATCCACCCAACAGGTATGTAGAGAGCCCTATGGGAACAGGATGATGGGAAGCATGTCACCATGCTGTCCTGAGAGAACCCAGAGTAGAGCCCAGTCACCTCTGGGCCCAAAACAGGAGCTAGAAGGAGCACTTCCCAGGGGGCCCAAAGGCCATAGCTTCTCCCCCTGAGGATGAATCAGAGGATTGATTATTTGGTTAGAGCAAGTGAGGTATTCCCCCAGGCCTGGGGAGTGGTGAGGATGCAAGATAACAGACGCTGACTTTATGTTCTTCTCCCAGGTCCTGTCCCTCAGCACCTCAGCCCCTGGCTCAGGCTCCACCACCACCTCTCCTGTCACTACCACGGTCCCCAGTGTGCAGCCCATTGTCAAGCTGGTCTCCACTGCCACAGCTGCACCCCCCAGCACAGCCCCCTCTGGCCCCGGCAGTGTCCAGAAGTACATAGTGGTCTCTCTTCCCCCAACAGGGGACAGCAAAGGAGGCCCCACCTCCCACCCTTCCCCAGTCCCTCCCCAATCCTCAGCCCCTTCCCCACTTGGGGGCAGTGCCCTCTGTGGGGGAAAACAGGAAGCTGGAGATAGCCCTCCTCCAGCTCCAGGGACTCCAAAGGCTAATGGCTCCCAGCCCCCTGGATCTGGCTCGCCTCAGCCTGCCCCTTGATGCTGTCACACATCTGCCAACCTTCTCTCTCTTCACACACACACACACACGCTGGGTGGAAGGAAGTAGTCATCTGCTTCCCTCACCTTAACTTTCTTTTTAGATATTGTACAGCCAGCTCCTCATAATAAAAGTTTGATTTATAAGTTCTGATTCACCTCAGTCCTGCCTGTGTCCGATACAATGGAAGGATCTAACCTGTTGAGCCCTCCTGGTCTCTAGGACTTGGGTCTCTTCCAGCCAGATCCATAATCACAGGCCAGAAGGATGGAGAAGACAGTATCATCCTCCTCCTGAACCACAGGCCACCGTCTTTTCTGTCCATGTCCTTGTTTGGGGAGCCTCAGATCCGAATGACATAAGCATCACTGTGGCTTAGGTGTCGCACCCACTTGTGGGGGTTGGCATTGCTGCAGTGTCTGAATGCCAACCTGAGGAAGCGAACCTGGAGGCCGGAGCACGTGTGCCGGGGAAGTTCAAAGGAGAGGCTCGCAGGGCCCAGCCCCAGAGGAGGAGCTGAGGTGGAATGTCCTTGACCAGGAGGCCCGGGCAGACCTGGGACTTCCATCTGTGAGGGATAGAGGCAGAGCGATGAGTGCTGAAGACAGAGCGGAAGGTGGGCAGGGGAGCCGTGGGGCCAGGAAGGGGATTATATTAGTGGGAACAGCGCAGCAACTATATTAGGAGACCTGAGTTGGGGCTGAAAATGGAGGGAGAAGAGGGCTTTAGAGAATCAGCAGCTGATACCTGGAAAAGGCCTGAGAGCTGAGAGCCTCCTTGCACCCGAGGCAGGTCCCAGCGAAGGGCTCCATCCCATAGCTCTGCCTTCTGCTCTGGGCTACTCAGCTCCTGAGACAGGCTGGAGTTTGGAAAGGTGCTTGGAGTTTGGAGTTTGAGCCCGACTGCCTCAGGGGCAGGCCAGTTCCACCCCCACAGTATATACTCTCCTCCCCAGTGCCATCCTGTTGTCCACGGAAGCTGGTAAAACCATAATGCACACACACTAACCTGACCACCCCTCGAGGCAGGGGAAGATGAAGCCTGATATTGAGAGCCTGGCTGCAAACATGAAAGGAACAGAGTCAGCCCCAGAAAGGTAGTGACTTGTCTCCACGCTTCATTAATGTCACAGCTGGAATTCAGCACACGTTCCACCCACCCCATTCCCAAACTCTCCAGCCTCTAACCAAACTGATTCCTAGGCTGGTGGCTGCATCTGAAAGCCATAGCGACAGGTTTCTATCTAGGCCCTTTCTCCCACTCCCTATAGCTGAACTAGTCTTGGCTACCCCCACTCATACCTCTTTGGGGGCAAGTCACATCGTAACTTCAGATAAACCTGGAGCCTGGATGAGAGAATACAACACCGTTACCCTAGCCCAAGCATGTCAAACTCGTGGCCGGCATGCAAACAAGGCATGCGGTCCACTGGCCGCGGGTTTGACATGCTTGCTCTAGCCATATCCTACTGGCATCTCACCTGCCTCCATTCATGTACTGAAGGAAGGAGAGAGAAGGGCTGAAATCTACTCGACTCTGTTAGTCACTAGTGTTCATGGGGCTGAATCCACTTGGAGGGAGGGTGCCTTTTTCTAATTTGTAACCTATACCACTAACCACCATGCCTCCACAATAAATCTACCTATTGACTTGGGTTCCAGAGAAATTCTAGAACTGGAAATGGTCTCACCTGCCTGAGCCTCGGTCCCACTGCACAGAGGTAAAGAGCCGGAAGGGAAGTGGGGAGGGGAGATCATCTGAGAGTTGGTACCGCATCACAGTCAGCTAAGATGAGGGAGAAACGGAGATCAGTTCGGTCCCCTCACACCTGAACTGCCTCCCTTCCCTTGGGTAGATGGAATATGCTAGGCCAGCCCATACTGACCTCGCCCTGAGGTGGCTGCAAGCGGAGTATTCGATGAGACTCAAATTCATCCAGTTGCACTGAGCTGTGAAATGAGACTTCATCCACCCGAATTCCTGGCCCATAACCTAGAAAGAAAGACTCCTCTGCTAAGCCATATTTTGGGAGAGAAGAGCACAGATGGGGTAGGGATCTCTCTAACTTCTCTGCATGAAGCTTCTGGTAGGAGAGAAAGACCCACTTTTTTCTCACCTCTCAGTTCCGACTTCCCCACACAAAATTCTTCTGTCAAGCCAATGCGCATCTCTGCCAGAAAAAAGGACATCAGAAAAGGCCACCAAATACCACCACAAACCCCACCAAGAAGTCTGTCCCACACCTAACCCTAGGCCCACCCTGCAGGCTTCTCACCAGAGCCACTGGGAAGAAAGCTCTTGAGTCGGATCTCCCCCTGCACATCCACCTTCAGCAGTGAGCCCTGAGAGTGGCAGAGACGTTAGTGCCCAGAGATGACCTCCCCAAATGTGTTTGCCAGACACTACCTGTCCTCAGCTCCAGGGCGGGGGGCCCAAACTTACATTAGATGCTACCAGTACGGACAGTCTCTCAACCACATCCAAAAACACTTCATTCTTTTGGCTCTGAGGAAGAGAGGGCATTTGGGTAGTTGGAGGCTGAACAGCCTGTATTCTAAAATGGACAGAGCAGTGGACGCTAGGGCCAGGGAGGGGGACACGAGGTATGGGAAGGGACTGGATTATCCAAATCTAGGAGAGATGGAAAGATATGCAGGCATCTTGGATTCTGGGATCCCCTAAAACGGAATCAGAGGGTCTGAACCTGTGTAGTGTCCCTCACCTGGTCAGAACGGCTGGACAGGACGGGGCGGCTGGCTGCACTGCTGGGGGCCACTTTGCTCTGCTGTGTCTCAGCCCCAAACTGCAAAGCACCCGAAGCAATCAGTCCTCATGGTCTGACACTCCCGGCCGAACCTTCTCCCTCCTGGTCCTCTGTCCCTCTACTCACCAAGCCCACGCTGCTGAGATCGAAGAGGCTGAAGGGTTTGCTGACCACAGCCTCGGTCTGGATGAAGTTCCTCAGCATCTCTGTGGATGTGGTCTGCACATAGCCATAATCCTACCGACGGGGAAGAGCCGTTTTAGGGGGGCCCGTGGAGCAAAGAGGTGAGATGGAGTGGCCTTGGCCTCACCATCAAGGAACAGCTCTTTAGGGAACAGGGCCAACCAAGGACATCTCTGAGCCTTACCAACACCTCATCCAGGAGTTCATAGACAAGGGCCACGTTGCGGGAGATGGTCCCCTCTCCCAGGGAGCCGCAGTAATCGCCCAGGAGGGTGGCTAACCTGAGGAAAAGAATGGCGTGTGCCTCTCTTCCTCCTCTCACCCCCAACACCCCGCTGCCCAGCCCTGCCCTCCTCACCGAGAGAGCAGCTCCAGGAGGCTGAAAGGAGAAATGTTTTCTGAAGTCGTGGCCACCAAATAGAGACCACTGTGTCTGATGTGAACAAAATGCCGGTCATCGTGGTGCTGAGGCAGAAGGGGCGGGAGAGGGGGGAGGGGGAGCGTCAGGAAGGGAGTTGTGCTTAAGGAGGGCCCAAGAGATTTTAGCTGGTACCCCGATTCCCCAACTGCCCAGCAGTGCGACCTCGGGCAAACCAGAAACCTCCCAAGGACTCAGTCTCCCCAAGTGTAAAGTGGGGTTCGTGAGAGTTCCTCATGCGAGGAGCAGTGCCTGCTATATCGTTAGCGCTCAATAAACTTTCCTCAATATTATTTGGAGGAATGCACGGCCCCCACCCCAATGGGAAGCTCTCAAGGACACAGCCCCTAGGGGGAGGAAGCGTCCCCTCCACCCGAACCTGCCAGAATAGCACTCCAACCCCCTGTGGTTACCATGACAACCGGGGACTCTTCTCCAGGCAGTCCCGTCAGCTTCCGGTAGAAGAGCTCGGCCACATCCCGGCCTCCACTGTCCCCGCGGACTGACCGGTTGAAGGACAGCTAAGGAGCCAGAGACACAAGCTAGCTCTGGGACACTACTCCCACCCCAGCTTCCCCCCGTGGACTCGTGGGTCAAGGATACAGTCCTTGTAAATGAGTGGGTCCCCCTTGGAGGACAGAATGAAGAACTGGGAAATCATGGCCGTTCTGCGGAGTGGACAAGGAGAGGAAAGGGACGGCAGCCCCGAACAAAGGGACGCGTGTAGGCTGGCCCTTTAAGACCGATTCTCCTCTGACGCGGGAAATCCGGCGCCTGCCCCACCCCGCCCAACCTGTCTCTTTCATCACCCACGTCGCTTCCCCATCACTCAGCCCAGGTTCGCCTGGTGATTGGTCGAGGCTGGGCCCGCGGAGAGAGGGCGGGACAGAGGACCTCTTATCGGATTGGCCCGTACGCGGCTGCGCCGGTCACGTGTTGGGCGACGTTTCGCGCCAATTTCGGTTGGTCAGCCACAGTCTGCAGCGGGAACGTTCGCTGCTAAGGGAGAGTGAGAACCCTGAGCGCGCCAACTGCTGCTGCACGGTCCTCAGCAGCGATGGCTCTTAAGGACTACGCGCTGGAGAAAGGTGAGGGTCTGCAAGGTTGGGAGGGGCGTCCGGCGCGGGAACTCTCCCGGCCAGCACCTGTTGATGTGAGCTAGGGTCCTGGGGGCCGCTCGGTGCGCGAGGCCAGAGCCGGGGTCCAGAAGCGGCGTGGCTAAGGCACACGGTGCCTGGGCGGCACGTGGAGACCCGAGGTCGGAGAAAAGCTAGAGATGGTGTCTGGGAAAGGAGTGGGGGCGGCGGATAGTCCCGCTGGGGGTTCGAGTGGAGACGGTTCCGCCTGGGCGAGACCGGGACCTCGGAAGGTCTTATCTAGGGCGTGGAGTCGGGCCCCGCCAGCCCCGCTGCTTTCCGCGCGCTTCGGCACTCCCAAGTAGCCGCGTTCTCCCGGGATGTCGAAGCCCCAGGGGCGGGCTGACCCGGGCCGCTGCGCGCGGGGATTGGCCATTTTAGTCCAACCTACAAGCGGAAGTGAAGGCGGGCGGAAGTTGCGCGACGCCTCGGAGGGAGCTCCGTGTGTAAACAGTGTCCTTCCGCGCGGTAGCCTCCGAGAGGGCTGCCGAGAGCGGGGGCGTGCCTGGAATTAAGGGTTTTAGTGCGAATCTTAGAGGAGGTAGCATGGGGCCGAGACGGGGACGACGGAGTGCCCTGGACCAGCTGGCCAGTGGCCGGACCGGCTCCCCCGGGCGGAGGAATCCCGCGCTGTGAGGCGGCAGCATCTGGGCCCATGTGCTTCTTTGTTTACTAAGAGCGGAAGCAGTGGCGGTCGAGGGGGTGGGGTGGAGGATGGGACTAGTGGCATAGGTTTAGGGCACCGAAAGAAAACGGGGAATGATCACTACGGAAGAAAAGCTGAGAGCCTTGAGACTTGAGTTTGCTGCTGGGAGTTGGGAGGCCTTTGGGAACGGGCACCGAGATTTCTAACGAAGGCAGACACTGAAATTACCCCAGGGGGAGGGTGTTGGGTAATTTTTCAACTGCCAAGTGCCCCCTTATTCTTTAGATAAAAACAGACTTTTGAAAAGGAGTTCTGCCCAGTTTGGGGAAAATTATGTGGGGTGGGGTGATTTAAATGTTCATATAACTAATTAGTCACTTAAACAAGAGTGGGTTTCTTAGATTTCTGTTGGGTTTGCAAAAAGGTACCTCAAAGAAAGGAAAGTTGATCATCATGATTTTATATTTACATTATAGAAAAAGTGAAGAAATTCCTACAAGAGTTTTACCAGGATGACGAGTTTGGCAAGAAGCAATTCAAGTATGGGAACCAGTTGGTAAGTCTAAGATTGGAGGGAATGGCACCTTAAGGAGCCATAAGGTGGCCTACCTTATTTCAACAAATACATCTGTCTGTAAATGACATGTTTAGTGTGGTACCTGGTACTTGGTAAGTGATATGGTCCTATATTTGTGATAACTGAGGTGTTTCTAGGAGTTGGGAAGCTGTCTTTGGGGGTTAAGAAGTGAGTACTGCTGTCCCACACTATTTCTCCCCTGTGGAGTCCTGGAATCTGTCCTGAGCTCACAGTGATGGGTCCTTGCATGAGCACAGTAAACTCGACTCGGGTCTTCCCAACTCTTCCCCACCCCAGGTTCGACTGGCTCATCGGGAACAAGTGGCAATGTACATAGACCTAGATGATGTAGCCGAGGAGGATCCTGAGCTGGTGGATTCAATTTGTGAGAACACCAAGCGCTATGTGAGGCTCTTTGCTGATTCTGTTCAAGAGCTGCTGCCTCAATACAAGGAGAGGGAGGTGAGTGCAAGAAAATTCAGGGCAAAGAACTTTTCTGTTTTCTGAGCTAGCAGGAAGGAGGGATGATTTCTGCCTGCTGACCTTTATGCCCCAGCCTGCCCCTCATTCTTCCCATCTTCCTTCCTTTGCCTGTAGGTGGTAAATAAAGATGTCCTGGATGTTTACATTGAGCACCGACTGATGATGGAGCAGCGGAGCCGGGACCCTGGGGCAGCCCGAAGCCCCCAGAACCAGTACCCTCCTGAACTCATGCGTAGATTGTGAGTGATCGCAGTGGGGAAAGGTGTGGGAATTTGTTCTTCAGGACCTTGCTAATGACTATTTTCTCTCTCAGTGAACTGTACTTTCAAGGCCCAAGTAGTAATAAGCGGTAACTGTACGTGGAATTGTCACTCGTGTCTCTGAAGTTAAACCCAGAATGGTGGTGGCCACTTACACTTGTGACCAGTGTGGGGCAGAGACCTACCAGCCGGTATGTATGAAGTAGGGAACGGGAATGCACTTGTTAGTGTTTTTTGTAAGAATTTCTATGAGGTTTATCCTTTTCTCTGTTTACTGTAAAATACATCTGTGTTTTCACCTTTCATTCTTTTTCTAGTATGTAGACCATTCATTTGTGTTTTTGATGCCTGTCAACTGTTATCCCAGAATAGTTCAAGATATTCTTGACAGTTCTGTGATGATAAAACATGATGCAAGTGACTGACTCTGAGTGGTTCATTTTCTTCTGACTTCCTTTGATGCTTTCTTACATCCTAGATCCAGTCTCCCACTTTCATGCCTCTGATTATGTGCCCGAGCCAAGAGTGCCAGACCAATCGTTCAGGAGGGCGACTATATTTGCAGACACGTGGCTCCAAATTCATAAAATTCCAGGAGATGAAGATGCAAGAACATGTGAGTTTTGGGGTTGTTGCCCAGGGGAGATGGAGCTTGGGAGTCGATTTGAATACTATAGTCACTCACAAGTGGAAGAAAGAATAGGAGGAGGTGCGGCAGAGAAGTCACCTAGAGCAGGAGGGATATTTAACTGAAACTTTGATTGAGCTGGGGAGAGGTAAAGGAGATCTCTGCTTTCGTATTCCTGTTGGCTGGTCTGAAGCTAGGGTGGGTCAAGAAGTGGGAGAGTGGGATCCCTAGGCAGGAGCTTAGATCCTAAAGGGCCTTATGTTTCTTTTTCCTTGTCTGTGCACCCTTATCCCCCAGAGTGACCAAGTGCCCGTGGGAAATATTCCTCGTAGCATCACAGTGTTGGTAGAAGGAGAGAACACACGGATTGCCCAGCCTGGGGACCACATCAGTGTCACTGGTATCTTCTTGCCAATCTTGCGCTCTGGGTTCCGGCAGGTGGTACAGGTAAGAAAGGGAGTTTGAAGGGAGGGAATGTTCCCTTTTCCCCCTTGCCCACTCACTCTCACCACACCCACAGAGAAAACTATTAACAGCAAAACAAAATAGAACAAAGGGTTTTATTGGGAACCCCTTCCTGAAGGAATAATGTGGACTTCTTTCATATCATGGTCTTTTCCTGATCAAGGGTTTACTCTCAGAAACTTACTTGGAAGCCCATCGGATTGTGAAGATGAGTAAGAGTGAGGATGATGAGTCTGGGTCTGGAGAACTGAGCAAGGAGGAGCTGAGGCAAATTGCAGGTGAGGAGCTGGGGGAAAGACCAGGAATGTTTCTTTGTAGCACTTTTTTTCCTAATTTTTCACTTTGCCCTCAGAGGAGGATTTCTACGAAAAGCTGGCAGCCTCCATTGCTCCAGAAATATATGGGCATGAAGATGTAAAGAAGGCGCTGCTGCTCCTTCTGGTGGGAGGTGTGGACCAGTCTCCTCGGGGCATGAAAATCAGGGGTAAGAGGACATGAGGGGGAGGCTCTGACGAGGGGAGGCAAGACTTGGCGTCTTGGCTTCATGGGCCCAGGATGGATCAGAGACGATCCTGAGTATGGGGCAGGCAGGCTTCGGAAATATTTTCTCTGTTGGACAGCTTGCATTCAGAGAACAGTCACAGGGGCTTTCTTTTTCCAGGCAACATTAACATCTGCCTGATGGGGGACCCTGGTGTGGCCAAGTCTCAGCTCCTGTCTTACATTGATCGCCTGGCCCCCCGCAGTGAGTAATCGGACGCGGGGAGGGAGGTAAATGTAGAAACAAGAATAGGATCACCACATTTATTCTCTTCTTTGGGGATTTGAAAGGTGGGAGAGGGTTGGGCAAGGGAGATAGATCTTTACCCAGGAAGGCCTGGTTGAGCAAGTAGATTAGATCAGTGCAGGCCTCATTTCGTTGTCCCCATTACTTGTGTCCTTGCCTTATTCTTGCTCTTTTCCTTGTTCCTTTCCCTTTTGCTAAACATGTCTGCTTGTTTCCTGTCTTCCTGACCCTGCCATTTAGGCCAGTACACAACAGGTCGCGGCTCCTCTGGAGTGGGGCTTACAGCAGCTGTGCTGAGAGACTCTGTAACTGGAGAACTGACCTTAGAGGGTGGGGCCCTCGTACTGGCTGACCAGGGTGTGTGCTGCATCGATGAGTTTGACAAGATGGCTGAGGCTGACCGCACAGCCATCCATGAGGTCATGGAGCAACAGACTATCTCCATTGCCAAGGCAGGCATTCTAACCACCCTCAATGCCCGTTGCTCCATCCTGGCTGCTGCCAACCCTGCCTATGGGCGCTACAACCCTCGCCGCAGCCTGGAGCAGAACATACAGCTTCCTGCCGCACTCCTCTCTCGATTTGACCTTCTCTGGCTAATCCAGGACCGCCCTGACCGAGACAATGACCTACGGTGAATTAAGCTCAACACTCAAAGAGACATATCTTAGAGATGATTGGGAGGGAGGAGAAATTGGAAAGCCCTCAAATTCTCACGAAAATGGTTCCACAATTCTTAGGGAAATGGTGGGTCTGGGCTGAAACACTGGTAAGGATTTCTTGGTAATGTTTTTCCCTGCCACACTGTGAGGCAATGGAGACCGGGGAAGAGGAAGATAAGAGTTGGGGCACAGGGTGCATAGCACCAAAAAGAGTGTTCCTCCTTGCCTCCACTGTTCCCAGGTTGGCCCAGCATATCACCTATGTACACCAGCACAGTCGGCAGCCTCCCGCCCAGTTTGAACCTTTGGACATGAAGCTTATGAGGTAGGAGAGCTGAGTAAGGAAGGACAGGTCTACTTCATCTTGTGTGGCAGTATCTTGGGCCTTGTGTGTCTCTTGAAAAAAGTTTTCAGTCTTACTACCACCGTGCCCATCCCTTTCTATGTTATGGGTCTGAGAACATTGAGTCTAGTCCCACCCCCAGGCTGGTCACAGAAGAACACACATCAGAACTAATCTTGCACATCACTGGCCTGTCTTGGATGAGGCAGTTTCAGATTCTAGGCAAGGCTGGGTCTTGCTCCAAGGCTACTTTGTCATGATGTTCTCCACAGGTCTGTGCAAGGGCTCCTAATAGTCCCTCAAGTTTTTCTTCCCTGTTACCTATTCTCTTCAAGTTAACAGTTGTCTTAAAGCAAACAAAATATATTTGTTCCCTTTAGCCATAATCATGTTCAGGAGAGGACTTGACCATCTCTAGTTACAAGTGGATTTGTCTTACTCATGCATAAGCCATTTTCCTTAAAAATCAAAATAATTTTAAATGTACCAAGAAATCTATCAGTGATATTCAAGCCACACAGATAATCCACTATTTTTTTTCTTCTACTTAAAAATCCCTCCCTAACCCCAAGGGTTTCGTTTGTTTTTCGTTTTTTTATTTTTGTTGATTTCAGAGAGGAAGGGAGAGAGATACAGAAATATCACTGATGAGAGAGAATTAGTGATTGGCTGCCTCCAGCACGTCCCCAAGCCCACAACCCGGGCATATGCCCTTGACCGGAATTGAACCCAGGACCTTTCGGTCTGCAGGCTGATCCTCTATCCACTGAGCTAAACCAGCAAGGGCAAGAGTTTTCTTAAATAGGAAATTTACACAGAAAAAGCATACTCTCCCAAATCTCTTTTGCTTTCTCACAGACGATACATAGCTATGTGCCGGGAGAAACAGCCCACGGTGCCAGAGTCTCTGGCCGACTATATCACAGCAGCATATGTGGAGATGAGGCGAGAGGCTTGGGCTAGTAAGGACGCCACCTATACTTCTGCCAGGACTCTGCTGGCTATTCTGCGACTATCCACTGCTCTGGTGAGTGCCCAGTTCCTATTCTGCTGGAGGGTTATCTGTTTTGACTATTACTGGGCAGCCTGCAGTAACATTGTCCTTTCTCACTGCCTCCTCCCTTCCACTCAGGCCCTGCTGGGGCTAAAGTGCTGACAGTGCAGATAGTGGTCCTCTCGTGCTACCGCACTGTGGGTACTTACTGCTCCAGCAGGGCACGCACGGCGTCCATGGAGGGAAAGGCCTTTCTGCTCAAACCTCACTATGGGGGTGGGTGGGGTGAATTTCATTATGTCCTAGATCCTGTGCTAGAAAATCTTCATTTCTGTCCTCACATCTTGGACCTTAGTCCTGGGGGCTCCAAAGTGCTGTTCGTGCAGGTAGTGTGATTACCTGACCTACTGCTGAGCTAGCACTTCCCGAGCCCCAGGGATACCTCTCTGCCAATCGCTTTCTTGGCTGAGCTCCCCAAGCTCCATCTGTCATGGTGGGGAGCCCACTGGAATTCAGAAGGGTCTAGTCTCCCTCGCAGGACAGCTGAACACCGGGACTGGCCAGTGTTGAGAGGCGGAGACTTGGGCAATTGCTGGACGCTGCCCTGGGCATTGCACTTGTCTCGGTCTGACAGTGCCGGCCCCACACTGCGGATGTTTATAGGGGAGGGGAGGGGGCCTCCACTGGTTTTCTGAGTAGGCAACACAGGAGGGGGGTTCCCTGACTGTTCCACTCCCCTCCTCCTGTTCCCATCTGTCCCTACCTTCCCCTTAGGCACGTCTGCGAATGGTGGACACAGTAGAAAAGGAAGATGTGAATGAAGCCATAAGGTTAATGGAGATGTCAAAGGACTCACTACTGAGTGACAAGGGACAAACAGCTAGGTGAGTAGTTTAATGGAAGAGGAAAACTTAAGCAAACCACTTATCCTGTGGCTTCTGCAATGACACATGTATGATGGTGGCTTCACAATTGTAATACCACTGTTCTCTGACATGTTGGGTGCTCTTGTTTGTACCCTGACCTTACACACCAACACTTGTTGCCTTCAGGACCCAAAGACCAGCAGATGTGATATTTGCCACTGTCCGGGAGTTGGTCTCAGAAGGCCGAAGTGTCCGGTTTTCTGAGGCGGAGCAGCGCTGCGTATCTCGTGGTTTCACACCTGCCCAATTCCAGGCAGCTCTAGATGAGTATGAGGAATTAAATGTCTGGCAGGTCAATACTGCCCGGACTCGGATCACTTTTGTCTGATTCCAACCTACTTGTGACGCTGGGGTCTACTCTGCAGTGTGTGTGTGCGAACGTCCCTCCCCCTTCCTTTAAAGGCCTGAATTGCCCTTGAGGGGAAAAGAGGATCTCTTCTTTTTTCTGAGCTGCACTTGTTTTATTCATTTAGCTAATAAAGTGTTTGTAGATTGCTACCTTTTGTTAAAATGAGGTATTGTGTGTGTTCTAGATGCATATCCTGTTTGCTTTATACTTGTCTTCTTTCATCCATTCCTTAAATGCACTGAGTATAAAGTACCTGCCAGGCATCCATATAGACATGGGATGCAGTGAGATGAGAATCCCACCGTACAGAGACTGTTTTCCCCAGATCTCCTTTGGGCTCAAGTGTATACTGAGGTGCCACTCAGGTTCAGAGGATACAGTAGCAATGAAACAGCCTCTCCATTTCTTTCTGAAATGCCTCTACACCTCATTACACCTCCTTAATCCCCAATTCCTACTTGAAAGTCTTATTCAGAGGGTAATGGAAATCAGGGACCTAACGGAAGGTATGTGAAATGTAATGCCTGGCACAAGTAATTACACAGGACAATACCCATGTTTATATCACCTGGCCTCATCTCTAAAGTATAAACACTAGCACCTCTGCCTCATCAGGCTGAGGTGCCTATAGGTCAGGCAAATATATACCCAGTGTAGCAAGCATTCAGTAAACTAGCAACAGTTGGGAAGCCTCGGTAATATTCACTGCCCATAGGATCAAGGCTTTCAGTTGTCCTTGATAGAAATGTGCTTAATATCCCTCATCCTCCCACTCTGTGTGAAAAAATGAATTAAGTTTGGGAAAGTAGTCCTTTATAGGAAGACATTAAACAACAGATTGCGTAGATGGAAGCAGGCAGCATTCTGCTCAACATAGTCCACCTGACCAGACATGGAGTCACTTCAAGTGGCAGTGAACTCCACAATCACTGAAGAGTATGGAGAAGAGCTGATGATAAAAGGGGACTCTTGCCTTTGCACAAGGCTGGAACCAAGGGTCTCCTTTAAGATGGTTGAGAAACCTGTGGGGTACCTAATAGAGGACAGAGCCACTGAAAGGGGTGCTGAGGAGCTGCTCCCCTTTTATTAACAACAGGTTTCTCTAAAGGGAGTGTAGCACCCCTCCCCTCTGCAACAGTTGTGGCCTATGGAGCACATAGGGACCCCTGTGCATCATCTCTTCAAGTACCCTCTCAGAAGAAGAGCCCCCGCATCCGCCTGCCGATGCCTTGTCGATCATAGAGGACGTTGAACTTGTTCACGAACTGGTTCATGGTGTTGCACGTTTTGGTGATGGTGCCAAGGTAGGCCATGAGCCCCACATCATTGCATTGCTGAGGGAACAGAAAGAACCAGTTCCCCAGGGGATCTAGGTCCCTCACAGCATGCCCAGGGAACAGCTGAGTCCCAAGTCCTGCATGCAGTAATGACAGCATTAAGCCCTACCTCCCCATCCTGGGATTTATACTCACATCATAAAAGTCTGTCTTGAACTTGTCTGTGCTGAGTACTGGGAGGCAGTGACACAGAGCATAGGCCTCCCGAAGGATCTCATGGTTAAAGGGGACCTCTCCTAAAGGCACAGAAAGTGGCTGCATTACTATATTGTCACTTCACCAGGAAAGAAGAGTGCCAGGGAGACCCCTGTCCTACCTGCTTCGGAGGCCTTGACGTACTCCAAGATGAGCTTGACGCGGCTGTGCAACATCTTGATAGCACTGTGCTGTGCTATCAGGTGTTCAGCTACTACAGGGGGATAAGGACAGGGCGTGGTTGAGAAAGCTTGTGACCACACCTTCCACCCCCACTTCCAAGGACACCCCTCCACCTCAGTTACCAGTAGAGTTCTCTCCACTCCCTGTTGCTGTCATTCGGGCCACATGGTCTACACCAATGCGTTCAGCTTCCTCTGTGGCCAGAGTATAGGTCAGTTCAGCAAACAGCATTGTGGCCTATGGAGCATATAGGGAAAGTCAAAAGCAGGAAACACCAGGGGCAGGATCTGAGGGTTGAAAGGTAGGGCCATTACCTCTCCATTGATTATATCGATGACCGACTCAAAAACACTGACGGGAAGCTGTAAAGAGATGGAGAACAGCTCTCACATTAAATGCACCTGAACCTATACTATGTGCCAAAAAATGGGCTTGGCCCTTTCACTTTAGATTTTCTCATCAAACCCAATGATGGAGGGATTATTCCCATTTACACATGAGAAAATGCAGGTTAGAGGTTAAATGACTAACCCAAAGTCACACAGCTCTTAAGTGGCAGAATGGAGATTCAACTCAATAGAGATACAATAAAAGAGGCGATGAGGATAAAAGATAAGCTTGAGGATAGACAAGCATGACAAAGTGAGCAAGGAGTCAGTGTACTCACATCCGTGTGCTTGGTCATGGGGTTCAACTTAAGAAAGAGGGGGCTCTCGATTATCTCGCACACCTGGAAGAGGAAGACAACAAGTGGCAATGCCCATCTTCCCCTCATGCTCTCTTTTCTGGCCCAGCATGCACATGTGTGGGAATGTGTACCTGCTTGTGGACGTGGATGTCGGATGGGTCAGGAGGTCCCCCTGTGGTGTACCAACCCAGAAACTCCAGCTCCTTGAATACCTGTTTAACTGGAGAAGGGGCCAGAGCACAAAGCATTTCTTTAAACCATCCTTCCTTAATTTGAAACTCCTGGTGTATTTTCACCAGCTTCTTCTCCTCCCCCCCTCCCCCCAGTCATGGCTCAGTTTAGAATAATTAACCCCTCTTATGCTTTCATCCTTTACTTTCTTTGGGCAGAATACCTGAATGTGTCCTTTTTCTAAGATCTCTTCAATTACTCTGTCTTCACTTCTCCATAGTACTCACCCCATGTCCTGTGTATCTCTTCCCAACCTCCTCCATCTTCCCCACTTCACTTTTCTTCCCCCCACTCCTCTGCCCACTTGCATTCCCCTCTTACACTGCTCCTCCTTGGTGTAATAATATTCCTTGTCAATGATAATCTTCTCTTCTACGGTGTGGGACAGCAGCTCAAAGGAGTTCATCACCTCGATGTTTCGGCCCTCCTGCTTCCCGATGAGAGCCCCGATCACTGGGAAGAGAAGGACACGGGGGAGGGTAAGGAATCCTCAAGCTCCCGAGTCGTCTGCTGAGGGCCTGGGGTCAGAGTGAACCAAGTCCTGGGCGAGGGGGAACTGGCTTCAGGAAAGGAAGGAAAATAGGCCATTATCTGGGGGAGACGACCAGAGGAGGTTGTAGAATTCGGCTTAACGCTCACCCTGCACCGGCCGCCCTTCCTGGGAGCGCATGCGAATCCAATGGTCTGAGATGTTGAGGATCACGAGGGGATGAAGAGCGACCGAAACACTCCCTGTCACTCCGGAGGCCATCACGCTGGGGACCACTAAGAGGGGAGGAGGAGGAGAGAAGGTGAGTATCCAGGCCCATGTCCTTCCGCGGAGACGGCAGAGCCCGGGCCAGACATCCCTCCCGCCGGTTCCCCCAGGGGCCGATGTCCCGTCCGCCCTCCTGACTTCTCCCAGGACCCAGGAAGGTGGCTTTCACGACCCCGAAGGCCGTCTCTAGGGGCCGCCCCCGCGGGGCCCGTTACCTGCTGCATCCACCTCCATCCCGCTGCTCCCACCCGTCCCGTTCGCCGCAGCCATTTTTTAATCAGATTCTTCATTTCATCCTAGAAATGGAATTGCAGGTACTTCGACCCCACCGCTCGGCTGCGGCTGGCCCTGACCAGATTGCTGGACCCCACCTCACTCCACCCGCTTCTTCTTCGTCAGTGACATTGTAACAATACTGCCGAGCTCCCAAGTCTGCGGAATGGATGGAATGTCATGTTATTGCCTCCGAATAGGATTCAAGCTGCTGGCTGCGGCTTGCAAGCCCCTATGTCATCTGGCCCCTGCCTGCCAGCCGACCCTGGCCTTTACCTGTCTGTCCCCATGTTTCAGCCACAGGAGCCCTCACATATGTTCCTTTCACCGCCCCGCTCCCACTGAAAGGCCTTCTGCTTCGTTAACCGTTAAACTTGGCCACCTACATAAGTAATTTTTGAATAAATGGGTGAATAGTTTGGGGTGGAGCCTGCTCTTGAGGGGCTCCATCTGCATGTCCTATCTCCTTCTTCCAATCACTGGCATTACCTACTGTGCAAACATCCTCAGCAGTTTTAACCCTTCCCACCCTCCCTGCACCCTCCATCCCATGAGTCTCCCCTCTGGCAAAGAGACCACTCCAACCCTCTCCCTGCTTCTACATGCAACCACGTTGTGTGCACGGCCTTTACCCGGCTCCTGCTGCCCCAACACATCCATCTGTCCCTCACCCAGTGCAAGCCCTGTTCCTTAACCCTGCAGAGCCTACTCCAGTGCCCAGAACCAGCAGGTACAGGGAGATGTTTTCCAATGATAATGGTGACTTATGTGACTTAAGCAATCTTTCCATTTAGGAGCCTGGATAAAGGGAAGTTGAAGGGCCAGCGACCCTCAAAGGAAGGGGCCTGAGAAATCCTGCAGGGAGAGAGGTCTTCTGGCCAAGAGAAAGTGAAGAAAAAGTTTATCTCATTCTAATCCCCAGTGAAAAACCTCTCAGCCAACTAAGATACGTATGGAAGAAAAGCATACATGCCTTACTTCTCTTAGGAAAAATGAGGTCAGAAAAATATCTCTCTTTTACATGATAGGCAGCTTCTAAGGAGTATAATGTTTCTCAACTAGATTGAAGGCTAAAAGAAAGGCAAGAATTATTCTGGTGTTAATAAAGTTGATAATTTGTGTTGCTGTTTCACACATTAAAGTACTCCTTTGTCTTTTTATTGTTTCAAATGCTTTTAAAACACTGTGCAGGTAATTAAACAACTCATAAAACAGTGGTAATTGTGAAATTCACGGATGACGTTGAAATTGAATCATTGATTGGTTGGGGGCTGGAGATCGAGCCTACAAACGAGGTACAGGCCCTTGACCTGAATCAAATCTGGGACCCTTTAGTCTGCAGGCCTATGCTCTATCTGTTAGGTTAGGTGGCTCAGGAGGCAGCGTAGGAAATAAAGAGAGTCCAATTAATCAGAAAAGGAAGAAAGGAAAGGCTTTATTCTGCGTCCCCGGGCTGTTGGATATCTGTATATTATTCTTTATTTCAGTCAGTGTATGCTTAATTTCTAGTTGGTCTTTATCACAACATCAAGGGTCTCATTAGATTTCTTGAGGATCTCACTACATTTATCGGCGGTCTCACCAGTCTTTTCGAGGGCCTTATTAAGTTTATCGGCGGGTGGT